ACTGTGATGGAAAACCTCTTGTCTCGGTCGATTAGCAGCTTGGCAAGCTCCACCAGCTGAGCCAAATGGCCCATCAATGGCCAGGGGATGAAAATTAATTCTACTTTCTCCATGTCAACTGTTAAAGCAGAACACTCTTTTTTTTTTTTTTGGTTTTCTGGTTCTCTGTTTCTTCATACAATCTGTGTTTTATAACCAATCTTGGTTCCCAAGATGAATAGTTTTAACAATTTTTTAGGTAGAAGACTATTTCAACAGTTGACTAAAATCCGGAATTTTAGGAAACTGATAATCTTGCTTTTCTATTTCTCTTTTGTTCTTTGTCGCAGAATGGCTTTTGTATTTTGTATCCTTTATTATTTTTTTTCTCAAACTATAACAGAAGTATTTACTGTCCTTTATGATACTTCTATATATTGCTCAAGGATTGTTTCTGAAACATGCACTATTTTGTTTTCACTAGGTCAAATCGTAATCCTCTTGTAAAAAAGGTAGGAGACAGTACCATGGCCTCCCTCCTTTATTGTCTTGCAAAATTAACAAAGAATCAATTTTGTTGCCAGCCCCCCACCCCCCCAACCAAAAATTTGGAAGAAGGTTATCTTTCTGTACATTACAAACTGCTATATTGGTACTCGAAACAGGTTATACCACCTAGGAGAGTTCATTCTCTTTTGATTTGAATACAGACATTAGTAAATAGAAATGTTCAACCTTGTCTGATGGAAAGGAGACACTTGTTAGTTGTTTATATCTTATACCTTGCACATTCAAAGCCAATTAATACTATACAAATTGTAGAGTTGCCTTAATTGGCATTTAGGATGCTGCTGTAAATTGTTTATGGCTTATTTCAGAGACGTGAAAAGAAATGATGTTAACATCTTTGCTGTAGATTAAAATGGCATTAACAGCTCCTGTCGAATGTACAGCAGACACAAACAATTGACTGTTGTGGCCATTGACCATTTTTTCTCTGTTTGTTCTTTCCATCTTGTTGAAAAGATGGCTATCCTGTTGTCTTCTGCATACTGCTTCGTTAATTTAATCATTTCTCAGTCAATTGGATTTCTTTTTTGATATTTCTCACAACCTTTTTTTGACTAATCTCGACTAGAAAATTATAGCACATAAGAAAAATAGAACTCTCAACCAGACAACGTTGTTGTAGCCGTCCTTGTATCTCCTTTTTAGTTGACTAACAGCAATTGTCATGATATGCTTTCAAGAAGAATTGCACAACCTTGTCCCAGACAAAGGAGACAATTATCTCTACTTTAAGAACACAAATTCAATAGTTCAACCAGTATATATTTTCCATTAGATTGACATGACCCTTATAATCTTCTCTTTAGTCAATCATTCTTTAGTTTCAAGCATCTAAGCGGAAAATAAGGCCACCATACCATATAAACAAAGCAAAGATCGACTGACTATAGGAAAAAGAAATGTCTCTGGCTAGTCATACAAAGATCTTTGAGCAAGATCCATCAAAGATGTTCTTATAAACAATATCTTTGAGTTCAGAAATGGAGGTGGCTGGGCAACATTTTTGTGGCCGTTGTCTTCAAATTAATTCTCAATGAAGCATTGGACAACATATAAGTCATAAATATTTATTTGAGTTTAAGTATCTCTGGGAAACTTGAACAAAAATGAGTTCAGATGGCAAATTGACTGACGAAATGAATTATGATAGAGTTATTATAAGTCATAAATATTTGGGAGGCAAATATTCATAAATATCATCACTATCTAACTTAAATTTTTTTTTTATTTTTAACAAACACCTCAGCTCACCAGCTCTATGTCTAAACAGAAACAGAAAATTTTCTTTTATAAGGCAAATATGAATGGATTTTCTTGCATTAACTTTAATTAATTGTTAGAGTTACTGTAAGATACTACATTATTGAACATTAAAAGACTGATCGGATGCACCAGGACATGCATGGAAACCAATGAGGAAGAAATTAGTACAGCACAGTCATGAATCCTAGTAGCTGATGAGGAAGAAATTAGTACAACACAGAAAATTTCAGTCAATGCTTCTTCCCTTTAAAAACTAGTCACTTCATGATTCAGCAGACACAGATTCACAGGTCATTGGAGCACAATCCGAATCAATCGATGGATCACAATCAGGGATGGTACCATGAGGACAAGCGAGGTCCGGATCACAGTCGTCGCAGCTTGGATCACATTCACGGTCGTCGCTGGGTTCACAAGCGAGGTCAGGGTCACATCCAGGGTCCCTGTGAGGATTACAGCAGGGATTGGAATCCTGTAGAAGTTTTCGCCCTAAACTCAACATGTTTTTACTGTGAAGTGAATGAACAGGTTTACCAGTCATTGCTGGTAAAGTAATCAGGTAGCTGCAGAGTGCTATAGAACTGATAAGTATAGAGATTTTGGTTTCCATTGTAGAAATTTATTTACCAGTTAATGAAGGCTATGCTTCTATGCGGATATTTATATTGAAGTTTAAAAGCCAAGAGTACACTGGATTCTCCTCTGCAGTAGCTGGTGACAAGTAAATTGGATTGCAATGCCGTCCTCAAGCCATTGTCAGCATTAGACCGATTCAACCATGCAGCAAAGCTCGTTTGTAGATCATTGGATAAACTTTTTTTTTGTTAGTCTTTTCAGTTTGAATCGGAGTAGATACTGACTGGTGAATAGAATTGAATGTGAACTTTGTACTATATGTAAAGAGCTTGAGAAACGAACAAATGTGTCCAACAAAATTTCTTATGGCACATGGTTAATATAATTTTTTTCCCAACGAAAACAGCATATTATATTGCATAATAACAAGGTTTACATAATCTGTTTACAGACTTGGAACAACTGCTCCCATATCTTTCCTAGCTAATCTAGTTAACCAGAGAGGGAAGGAAACCTTCCAATGAACATCATCAACTAAGTTTTAAGGAAAATCTTGCCAAGTTGTGACTTTATGGCACATGGCTTATAGAGTACCCTGACTTGAACATTAATTACAGTAACTAGAAACTACATGAAAATAACAACAGAAGCTTGAATCAGCAAGTAAAAGCAGAATGAACAGATAGCTTCATTAATAATTAAACATTTAGTTTGTCATGTCCAATATGAAGTCAAGAATGAAACTACAGAAAAGAACAAGCATTTACAAGAGCATCACTTTTTTCCATGACTAGTCAAGTGGCCTTTTCTAGTTAATCCATCGAGTATCAATCAAACGCACTGGAACCATTCATTTTGTGGCAAGGCCAATTTACCAAATATGACTTCATTTTCTCCTTCAACGGCCTGCAGAATATCCTCCCAAGTGACTTCTTGACCTGTCACCATTATCTGATCACCACAGTCAGCTGCCAATTGTCAACATTTTCACATGTAACAGATTGGTTCAGACTTGTTCCATAAGCCAAACAATCTCTAACTTCTGAATACGCCATCCCATCATCAGTCATTGGAGCAAACCAATAATTCCCATTGTAGGATGAGGGTGCTTCTTGTTGGACTAATCCACCATCTGCTTGCAAACTTTCACTTATCAGAGCAGTAGATTGATCCATATCAGTAACTGATCCATTGTTATCATTCCCATTGCAAACCAAGAAACCTGTATGTGATTGCAGGTTGATTAACTCTCCATCACAGCCACAATTAACCAAATTAGGCAGCTGCATGGGTCTAGTTTCCCCAGTTCTTGTTATTACCAAGCTTTGAGTCTCATTCATTAGTATCTTAGGATTGCGTATTATCATCTTACTCGCCTGCAAATTTTCCAGTTCAACATTTTGCTCTCTCTTGGCCAAGACAACTTCAGGGCTTCCATGATTTTCAACCTTTTTGCTTCCGGGGACTTCCCTTTCTTTACAGATTCTTTGATCTTAGTATATTTGTCATTGTCCAATATTATCCTGCAAAGTACAGAATTAGTGCTGTGAGTGCTAGTTAACCCATTCAAAGAAGCGCCATCAATTGAATACTCGTGCATCATCCAGCCACCTTTCGCCTGTTTAGAACCAGAATTCAGAACATAGCTTAACATCTTCTTGGAACCAATTTTCTCACCAGTAATAAGGTCATCAACTGGGCTCAACTTAGTTTGTCCATCCATGTCCCCCAACCTGCCGTTCTTGTAGTTTTCTTGGCACTTAACTTGGTTAATTTTGTAAAGACATGGCCATTCTTTTAGTACCCTTGTTTACACCGTCATCATAGATTTTCCAGTACATCTTTGTCCCCAAGAACATCCCAGGGCAAGGCGCTTTCACTTTACGGTGTCTTCTCCTTCATGTAGTCCATTTCATGGAGCCGGTTCGTAACATTTAGGTAAAGGAGGGAGATTAGTTCTCCTATGGTCTAAACGAAATGTAATGGAATATTGTTAGCCATATATGTATAACACTATAAAATCTCTTTTTATATGGAAAATCCAACGGATAAACCAAGATGTTGGAAGGGCTATATAGAAACTTTCCTAAACCTATCTCTTGAGATCATGGTTCAAAGTCGTGGTCGCGGTCACGGTCGCGGCCCGGAACGTTCCACATCGGTCTCGGCATATCGGTCGCGGTCTCGGTGAGACGCAAATTTTAAAGTATTTAATATTTTAAAAATTATTAATAATATAAAAAAAGTATGCTAAACAAAAATAATAAAAAATAGCAAAAGAATTGGCCGAGTCAATCCGTCACGGTGTAACTCGGCCGATTTCTCGTCTTGACTCGGGATAACTCGGAGTGACTCGTATGACTCGGCTGAGTCAATCCGTCGCGGTGACGTCTCGGCCGATTTCTCGGCGAGTCAAGTATCTCGGTATCGTTTCGTCACGGTATCGTATCGGTAGGGGCCGAGACGGTGACGACTCGGCCGAGTCGTCTCGGTCTCGGCCGAGACTTCGAACCATGCTTGAGATTACATTGGAGGAAGTTTCCAAAACCAATGGACGCAACAAACCGAAACTAATAACTAGAAACTTGTCACTCAATACACCCTAATTTTGATCAACATGCGTGTAGCAATCTGTGATTAGTAAGGCTTTCCAAAGACTTGTATGATGAACCTCCTTCAGCGATGCTCATTCTACTCTTGTCTCTCATTTCTTTCACCTTCATCCTAATTTCACAATCACTCTCCATCAGTCTCCTGATTACTCTTTCTATCTCCTCTGCGATAACGAGAGGCTGATTTTCAGTCCCTTCTTTATAACCAACTGTAATCGGCATAGCCAAGCCCAATTCTGTAACCAATTGAAATGCGTTCAGCTGTTGCTCAGAATGTGGAGGCCATGTAGCAATAAGCAACCCCTACCAAATATTCTCCAGCACCGTATTCCATCCACAGTGTGAGACAAATCCTCCCACTGCTGCTTGTGATGGTACAGCAAATTGAGCTATCCATCCTACTATTCTTCCAATGTTTGCTGTTCGATCCCAAAACCCCTGCGGCAAGGCTTCCTGGTAGTCTACATACTCCCTGAGAAATCCAGCAGTGTTGTTTTTTGATGAGGGGCGACACAGAGACCATAAGAATCTGTAAACGCTGCGCTCAAGCCCAATTGCTAGCTCTTTCACTTGGTCTTCTTTTAAGCTCCCCTGGCAGCCAAAGCACACATGTACCACTGAGTTCTGAAGCTGATCATCCAACCATTTGATAATGTCTGATTCTCCATCATAATACGCCTGTTGAACATGGTTTAGTATTGGTCCTACGGAGTAAATTTGTGGAATTCTTGGTACATCATACGAGGCTTTTGCAATATTGAAGGAATTGAGTGCAGCATATGGTTCCAATTCATGGAATGTGTTAATGATGATTGGTTTGGCCTTTCTGTAGCCACGAGGATAATGTAGAAACCAAGTGGAGCATTGTTCTTCCCATAGTTCATATTGATTTCACGCGCAATACCCCAAATTGTGAAGATAATAATAATAATAATAATAAAGTTGGAAAAGTGAGTTCACTTCTGAATGCAGGCCTCTAGGCCCACAAACAGCAGCGGCTTTTCAATGGGGCCTAAAACCAAGTGGTGAAAAGAAGCCCAGCAGATTTATTGAGGAGGAAAGATACGTTATAAGTCACTGGCAAATAGCAGCAGCTGCAGAAATATGTACGTAAATTTCGAAGCTATAAGCTGAGCTTTATCTTTTAACCAAAAAAAAAAAGAGGAAAAAAAAGTTGGGTTTTATGAAATGGTCAGACTAATTACTTTCTCTACATTAATTTTGGATTGTAGAGAAGACGAGGCAAAGATAAGATGGAGTTCTGATATAGTACTTCATTGTGGGTTTCTATTTTTTTTTTTTTTAATTCCAAGTCACTTTAGCAGAGAGAAATCATGGACAGTTTTGAGATTTAGCATTTGCATTTTTTCAATATTAAATTTCACATTTTAATTACTCACTAAGTTTCATATACGTACTACTAAAATATATGATATTTTTAACACATTTCTCATGAGTCCCATGTCTCCATAATAATGTGTAAAACATTTTTATGGAATCATAATGAATATCTTTTCAAAATGAGGCAAAGAATTAAGACATTTGCGTTCTAAAAGTAGTGAGATCTATTGAGAAAAAAAATAATAATATTGAAGAAAACAACTTACCAAATATGACAATGTTGGTGTTAAGAATTTTGGCAAAATTTAAGCTATTATAAGAGATTATAAGGAAAGAAGTCTAGAAACTATATGTTACAAGCTGTCAAAGTTAGGGGGATTACATATTACTTTTTTTTTTTTTCCGGAGATGACAATAATTGTATAACCTAATCTATTCTACACTAAGAGGGAGGGGGCGGACCTAAGGAGGCTCAGGAATAACTTGAAGGGGACTGAACCACCACTGGACCAAACGAGTGCACAACACACCCGTCTAAATTTTTTTGAAGCAAACCACTTAAATGTGGCATTTTGGTGGGAGACAAAATGCATATTACGGTGCATTTACGGTGGGATAAAAACTAACCAGTCTATGATGATCATCTAATAAATAATGATAGCTGTAAGAAAGAAATTATTAAGACAGCCACTTTTCCACTTTTTCTTTTCTTTTTTCTTGTCAGTTTTGATGGATTGAATTCATTTGTCTTACTTTTTTACATCAAAGTCAAAAGTTAAATCACCAAGGATTCTCGTGGCAATCCTGTGATATACTATCATGGTTAGGTACAAAATCATGATTCTGTATTTTGGTGGAGTAGCCTGAACTAAAGTGTTTGGTCATATGATGGTTGGCTTCAACGTTCACGAGCCGCGGGTTCAGCCTGGAACGATCCATTCCATTACATCGGCAGGAATGATGCATTCTTCTATGGAACACCTCTAAAACAACTCTCCTCGGAGGGAAAGGAAAGGAGAGGAAATGAAAAGATTTAGTAATTTTTCTTGTTTGGATTAATTTTTAAGAAGGGAAATAATAGGATCCCGGGAGAAAGAAAGGGAAATGGCCTAGTTGTTTTGCTGAGCATTGGTGGTTCCATCCAAAGGTGTTTGAAAATGGAGGGAAAGAGAACTAAATTTAATAAAATTTTTTAAAGAAATATTTTTTCTCATCCTTTTGCAGTTAACTAATACTTAATCTTTTCCTTTACTTTCTTTTTTTACTCAATGCAAAAAATTCAAACAAATTGGATGAAAATCGCTTGCCTCTACTCTCCTTTGCTTTCTTTACCATTGATGTCTTCAATCCAAATGATGCCTAAGTGGTGTTGCTGATAGGAGAGCATGATTCCGAAATCTTAGGAGAAGCCTATACCTAAATATTTGCGGGGGAAAATTGTAAAACTATATATAATATATGGGAAACTTACAAAAGAGAATAATGACATGACTAATAAATAATCCCTGAAGTTGTGGACAGAAATAAATACCATACTGCTCAATTGCATAACTAAAGGAGCTATCCTTTCCTATTTACTTCTCATGCATCAGTTTTGTGCAGTATATAAAACGATAATTAATTACTTGTAGGCATTGTTTGTGACTTTCTAACCAGCAATTTTCAGCCTGACTTTTGCCAATCTCGAATGGTATATATGTGTGACTAATTCGTGTGTAATTTCCATGATGAGCAACAAAACTCTATTTATATTTAAGAAAGTAAAGGTTGTGTTTGGATTGTATTTTTCATGAAAAAATTACTGTAACGATTTGATGTATGTGAAGAAAAAAGATAATAGGGAAATGTGATCACGGAAAACAACGTAATTTTCCGACGGAAAATTGCAATCCAAACAAGGCCAGTTTCGAATTTGCAACATTACCATCTAATGAGAAAATTAAGGAAAATTGCAATCCAAACAAGGCCAGTTTCGAATTCGCAACATTACCATCTAATGAGAAAATTAAGGGTTGTGAGAAGTCAAAATATATAAAAAGAACTTATCGCATATGTTTGTGAGTGTGTATAAGCATTGACATTCATCAAATGAGGCAGACTAACCTAGACACACACAATGAATGAAAGGTACCAGATTCCATCAAATGGAGAAACTTGACTATTTAGAAGCTACATTTTGGTAACAAAAAGCTTAATTCCACTAGCCCTAGTTGTTGAAAAGAAGGCTTCTTCTTGATCCTTAATATGAATAGATAGCCCAAGACTTGCTAGCTGCTATTTTGGTAGAGCTAATTTTCCTATTTATCTATCTAGCTACAAGTTGGGGACTACACTTGAGTGCCTTGGTCTCTTTTTGAAAGTTGCTTAATTATTGATGCCTAATGTGCTTGCTGTGGAAGAAAGGCATGTTGCAAGTCATCGGCAACATTTAGTGCTTAGCAGTGGAAACTAAAAATATTAAATTTATGGGAAATTCCAATGGGATTGCAACTCTCTAGCACTAACAAGTTGTGAATTGTATTAAACAACTGAAGTGAAACAAAAAGAAAAATGTATTTAAAAAAAAATGTGACTTAACCCGTAAGGAAAAAAGAAAAAGGGGAGGGGGGGGGGCTCCTGTCACCTAATTCAAATATTCGATATGAATATGGGGCAGGGATAGTCATTAAACAACTGAAATGAAACCTAAAAAAAAGGAAGAAAAATGTATTTAAAAAAATGTGACTTAACCTGTAAGGAAAAAAAAAATGTTCTTCTTACCTAAGTCAAATATTACGGAGCAGGAACAGTCGTCAGGACAGTCATCAAAAGGTCCTAATTCATGTATTCTTTTTTTTTTTTTTTTGATCAGCAACAATACATTTGTATAATCTACTCTATCCTAATCTAGGGGGAGGGGGAGTCTAAAGAGGCTGTTGTAGGGGCTAATGGGTATACAGACCCAACTAGATCAAGGGAGTGCTATGGCATAACCTTTAGATTTTTTTCACTGCTGGTGACGTTTGAACCCTCACCAACAGTCTAGGGACTTAAGTCCCTTCCCGGTGGCTACTGAACCATTGGCCAGTGGTTCTAATTCATGTATTCATCACAAGGTCGCATGGTGCTGCATGTTCAGGTGACAGATGATACATGCATAATCCCAAGGAATAATAATATACTTATAGGCCAAGAAAAAAAAGGTACAAAGATTGACCTTTCTTAAAGATTGTTGAAAAGAAAAGAAAGCGAAATCAGCGGCCAAGGTTGAGATAGAGATGTTGCAACTTACAAGAAAAAGAGGGAACAAAACCCACTTTCAACATCGACCCATTGATTAAGGCTTTGAAAAATCAAAGACAGTGAAGGGCACCATTTTACGTGCATGCTTGGATTTCCTTATTTAATCCCACAATTCATGCTGATTACGAATTTGTTTAATTTATGCAGTCACCAAACGACCCCTTGAAAGAGATTGGAATCTACCCACTCAAAAATCGGCCAAGTAAAGTTAAAGCAAATTGGAGTGGGAAAAAGCTAACGTAAGCATGGATTCGATATACATCCTTTTCGATGTTGGATGGATGGAGACCTTCAATGCTACAAAGCCACCCATACACAAAATATATATATATATATATATATTGAATCGAATCATTTTTTACCTTTGTGAGCTTGTCATTTGCCTTGCATGTTCATCATATATACCAAATGAAGTAAGCTTGAACCTGATTTTTTTCGTGTGTAATGGTCTTTTGCCTTGTATGATACATCTTCACCATAGCAAAGAAAGTTTAGCAATAGAGTATAGCGAGAAGACGAAAAGGATATATACAATCTTGTAAAATTGTATATTAACTCTTGGTCCATATTTGTGTCCATGCATCAAGAATTGTTCAAACCACTTCCACGATAAAATGGGCATAATGGTAGGATTTGCTACCTCGTATTATTGTCTAGATGGCTAATATTGGCTATATAAATCTCAAATACGAAAAGTTGGAAAAAAAAAAAAAGCGGGGGGGGGGGGGGGGGGGAGCAATCAAGTCCTTCACTACTGAAATGGAAGGAAAATGATGAATCAGATGATTTGGGGAGCGAGAAGACGTAAGTGAGAAGTTTCGTGTCCAAACTCTTTCACAAATAAAGAAACAAAGTGGTGGCATGAAAGCACAATAGTTTAGGCTCCACAACAAAATAGAAACTAGGAGATTGAGTATTGCACGCAGCAGATAAATCATCATAATTGAGTCTAGCTGATCCTTCCAAGCTGTATTTGGAATATGAATTTGGATACTGAAGAAGCTCGGAAGCTTCCCCCGTGGAGGTCAATTGTGTATTTGTCCGCCCCAGCATCAGGTGCGTGGAGGGGGGCCTCCCCAGGATTCGAACCCTGGTCCTTGTGTATAAGGGTCTTGGGGTTGAAGTCCTGGTACCACTTGGGCTAGTGGTGCGTGAAGGGGGGCCTCCCCAGGATTCGAACCCTGCCCAAGTGGTACCAGGACTTCAACCCCAAGACCCTTATACACAAGGACCAGGGTTCGAATCCTGGGGAGGCCCCCCTCCACGCACCACTAGCCCAAGTGGTACCAGGACTTCAACCCCAAGACCCTTATACACAAGGACCAGGGTTCGAATCCTGGGGAGGCCCCCCTCCACGCACCTGATGCTGGAGCGGACAAATACACAATTGTAGCCCAAGTGGTACCAGGACTTCAACCTCAAGACCCTTATACACAAGGACCAGGGTTCGAATCCTGGGGAGGCCCCCTCCACGCACCTGATGTTGGGGCGGACAAAACACACAATTGGCCTCCACGGGGGAAGCTTCCGAGCTTCTTCAGATACCATTTAGACCCACACACATAATCTTGTATATATATTTTACTACAAAACTCTCTAGAGTTTATGCAAATAAAATATCAAACTACATACGGGTACGTATGTCATCATTAGCAGAAGAAGCAACTTCATTCACGTACGTGTGTTATACTTCTGGCGCTTACTTGTTTGGATGGGATGATGAGGGCTTACTTTTTTATATGTAAGATTTTGCCTTACTAATAGAGCACACAAATCTGACGTTGGAGTTTCTTAATATATCTTGTGGACAGAGTGGATCGGGTTGCGTATTTTCTTGATTTTGCTCTACAGAAAAACAAATGGGAGTCAGCCACAGCACAGATACCGGTCAATGCGGCAACGAGTCACATGACCTAGGCCTGTCAACGGGTCAGGTCCGGACCGGATCCGTGAAATTATTGCGGGTATGGGTAGGAATTTAATTCCGTTTTCCGGATCCGGATCCGTTTTGTCAAACAAAAAAACGGGTCGAATACGGAATATAGTATTCCGGCCCGTATTAGACCCGGATCCGGATATAAATGAATTAATAATTTTAAATATGTATATTTATCAATATAATTTGATTAGAGTGATGTATTTTAATAAAGTTAATTTGATTTCTTTTCTTATTTGATTTTTTCTTTGCATTAGTTAAAAATTAGTTTACAAATATATATTTTTTTCATTTTTATTAGAAATTATAAATTTTGCTAAATTTGTTCGGGTAGACCCGGATCCGGATCCGGGACCCGCCGGACCCGCCGGATCCGGATCCGGAACATAGAATAAAAGACCCGTCGGATAAACGGGTCGGATTCGGATCCGGCATAGTAATTCGGGTCCGGATCCGGAATAATGAATTCCGGCCCGGACCCCGCCCGTTGACAGCCCTAACATGACCCAAGAAATGGGGCAAAAGAAAAAAGTCAAATACAGGTAGAACTTAGAAGAGAAAAGAATTCGACATTTTCGTCTTGATCATTTGATGATCAGAATTCACACGAATATAGGTGTCGGAAACTCGATGCAAGTCAAGTGTCATGGCAGTAGGGAACGGGGCAGGAACAGTCATCATTAGAGCGATGCGTATTTAAAGATGAACAGAAGGAAAAACTAATATGACGTAGTAGAACTAAGTAAGTGTCTAATTCATGCTACAAAAACCAGTTGAATTTTCTTTTATTTTTCCAGTTAAAAAACCTTTTCCCTTTTTGGGCTACAAAGGGTTTTAGGTTTGCTTATATAGCTCATCCTTTGCAAAACAAATAAAATAAAAACTTATCATATCATAAATATATCTTTTAATCATCTTTATATATGAGATACAAAAAATTACATTAAGTGTTACGAAGCGGGTGAATTTAGACAAAAGATTATTCGAAAAACATTATTTGAATTAACACTTTTTTATACGTAATATATGTAAAATAAGAACACAGTTGAAAATATTATCTATGATACAAATAAAATAATATTTGAGAAAAAATTTGTAACGAAAAAAGACCAAATATCCAAAACTTTTTTATTCAAATAATCTATCCAAATAATTTGTTTGGATAGTGTATTATTTGAAATATTATTTGAAATAATTACTGTAGCACTTTTTGTGATGTGATGTATGTGAGATAAAAAGGTGATTGGGAAAACAAAAAGGTAGGTTAGAAAATGCGTTTATAATGCAAGCGAAATATTATTTAAGATAATTTGGGTATCCAAACACTCTCATTATATTTTCCTTCTACATGCAACCTTGGATCGAGAAATTCATATGCTAATGCATAATCTCTTTGGTACTGCTGCTTTGTTTTTTTCCTTTCTATTAAAAAAAAAAATTTTTTTTTGGGTTGCAGGGTGGGTGGGGATTGTGTTCTACGCGGCGCACGGCTTTTCAAGCACCGGGATTGGTCCCACCACTCCGAGTCCCGGCCATCATTTGGAAATCGTCTCCCTCGCGTGGGCCCATCAATCTTAATCTTGTGTCCTGTGCCCAGACCAATTCTCTGCTCGGTGCTCGTTCGTTTCTTTTCTTTTTCAACACCCAACCATCCACATAAATGATAAATGATAGAACTTCCCTTGCATTGCATGAATCAAATCATCAACCCACAGTGCAGGGGAGGTCACTATTTCATTATTTAGCATGACGTACGTAAGCATATACAAGTGTGCAAAGTACAAACTAAACTATCAAATTTTATGCTACTTGTGAACTCAATTGATTGTAATTAATGAAGAATCATGTTTAGATTGCATTTTTTTGAAATTTTTTTTATAGAAAAATTACTGTAACGATTTAATATATGTGAGATAAAAAAATAATTAAAAAATATGTTCACGAAAAGCATAGCAATAAAAAAAAATTGCTTTCTAAACAAGACAGATTCATACAAGAAAACTGCAAATTGCAACTTTATTTTTTTTTTATCCCTTCATCCCTGCTTACGCTTTTTTCATTCATAAATGTTAGATTCAAAATTTGAATCCTAAAAAAATTTAGTAGCGAAAAAAACTCGATAGGAGCTTCTTGACCGCTGAGTCAACTCAATAGTTTAATTTACCATTATTACGTAATTTCTAACAAAGATATGCGTATAATAAAGGTTTATTAGTATTAATTTACACCACAATGTAAATAACAAAGACCTCATAAGTTCTCAAGATCTTTTTTTTGTCTCTTCATGAGTGTTAGTTACCTCATAATTGGTTAATTTTTCATTACGGAGAAAAACACCATAATGAAATGCTTGCTCGTTGAAAGTTCAAAAAAAAAAATTAAAATACATGAATTCTTACATATTCCATTAGAAATTTGTAATAGGCATACATACAAGTGATTTGCATTTCCATAACCAAAGTCCTTTTTTTTTTTCTTGCAGAACAAAGCACTTCAATCTCTAGTTTTTATTCTTAAATTAACAACTAAGTAAAGTGAGATTGATGGACTACCAGCCAAAAGGATCGTCGTGGCATAGGGGAGTACGAGGAAATTCCCAAAAAAAATATATCTATGAAAATAGAAAACGTAATTTTATCTGGATGCAAATTTGCTTTGGTTATGATTGGCATCACCATCAGATTCCAAATCCAGACGGTTTAGAAATGGAAACAAGGCTTCAAAGATTCGCAAGGGGCCACTATTAAACAAACTTGACAATTTTGCTGCACCTAACGCACTTGATTCTCTCTTTTGGTAATGTGGCATTTAAAATATTGCTCCTACCACACTATTTGTACTTTGTATACTTGCTAATATTTGTTTCATGGTTTGGGTCAGCCAATCTAGTAGATTAATATAAGTACTACACTTTAAACAAAGGTTTTTTTTTTTTTCTCTCTCTCTCTCTGATGGGTGACCATTCGTACTTGTTAGTACACCTAGATCACACCTAGCTTCAAGAAGGGTTGGATTAATGGTAAAGTTAGAGGAATTATAGGTAACATGTAAGAAAAAGATTACACCTAACATATTATATGAATTCACGTACTAACGATTATTATCTTGTTTTACATTTATATGCATTCCCTAATTAATATTATTTTTTCAAAATATGAACACGTGAAATCCATCGTAATGGGCACTCATTAGACAGACGCTTAAACAAATAACTAAATCATAAATTCTCGATTGTGCATAAGTGTTTGGATTGCTAATATCTAACCAAAAATTATTTGTTTGCATCACAAATACAATTTACAACACATATTTTTTATCTTCTCAATTATCTTTTTTATCTCGCATATATCACATCACATCACAAAAAGTGTTATGGTAATTATTCCAAATTAATATTTCAAACACTTTCCTATCCAAACACATATTTCTAGACAAAACTATATGAGAATCACTTCAAACATATTAGAAAAAGCTGTGTCCTTGAAGACTAAATCTTGAAAAATCTTTACTTTAAATACACATTAAGCTACTAGTCCAATTGCCTCCAAAAAAAAAAAAAAAACTAGCACTATTATTGTCCAATGCCCTAAAGAAAGCCCATCGATGGCATTGTTTACAAGAGTTATTGGAACAATAAACTATAATACTTTTTAAGATATGAAATATGTCAGAGAGAAAAAAAAAAAAAGAAAAGGTTCTCACCGAAAAAAGTTTGATACGACATTAGAAATTACAATTTAGTAAATTAATAGACATACTCAAATAAATTATACATATTAAAAGACTCTTATCATCAAGCAACACATATGTTGAATATCGGATCTTTCCAATTTTAATTCCAATTAATCGCTTATTGGGAAAATAAATAAAAAAATCACAAAGGTCCAATACAATTACAATTAAGCGAATAATACTTTTTGATCATTTAACAAATTCATTAATTAATACCCTTGCCCTTAAGCTTAGCATGGTTTTGAGAAATTTAATCATAATAGATCGTACCCAAAAAGATCTCAAAACGCGTAAATAACAACATTAAAAACAAAAAGCAAGAAAATAGTTTGCATAAAGTTTAGATTACTTAATTAAGTACTTTATGATCCCTTCATTAATTAATTAAGTTACCTAATTAACAGAAAAGACGGAAAGGACAAAGCCCAAAAGCTACCAGTCTTCTTCATTAGTCAGATTCACATTTCATAATCAGCTCTACTTTTTTTTGATTTATTCTTTTCCACTTCACTAACTCCTCCTCTCATTCACACCCGCCTTTTTCGTCCCTCTTCATCACTTCCCCCATGTGCCAAGCCCCCCTATATATGAACAACTTCAGCAAGATTTCTCTGTTTCAGGGACCCTTTGAGATCCTGTACTTGATAAAGTTGTTAATAATAATACATGTGAACATCTTAGTAAGGGCCTGCTGATGCGGTGAGGCGGTGCCTTGATGTGATGTTACTCATACTGCAGTGAGATTTGCAGCAGTGAACTCACATGTGAAGAAGATGATGATGATCATGAGGGCTTTCATCTTCTTCATTTTTGTCATTATTCTCAACTCAATCCCAGCTCAGTCTCGCCCCGGAGATCCTTTCAAGTCCATCTTGGGTAT